TCAATACAAACACTGTACATGAATTACAAATGAAACAACTCACAGGGAAGCTTTGATCATTGAGCATAATCCTGAGGTAAGCAGATGCAAAGACCTGTTAACTGTTAATTGCAAAGTTACATGTACGTCAAGCTATATGCTATGAATATCAAAAACACTTTCATTAAAGTTACTTGACAGAGTATTCAGTGATTTGTCAGAGAACAGAGAAAACATCAACAAATACTCTTGTACGTCACTTACTTATTTAGGATTGATTTTACACTTGTGAACCCTAACAGAATCCTCCAACAAAGCTGATTCTGCTTACCAGAAACATTCAGCTTTCATAAGAGGGCAGTCATAACAAAGGCCTAAAAATATAAAAATACACAAAAAAATAATATACACATATACACATATAACCTATACAATAACATCCATAAAACCATAATCCATATCTGTTACGTCATTTTGCGACCCCAGTATCAAACCCTCATTTTACAGGAATGGTTTCAATATGCAAGTGTAAACTTAAAAAAATAGTTTAATATATTTACAAACACAAACAATAAGTTAATACATATATATTCAGAAGCTACTCTACATAACCTGTAGTCACATACCTGTAGGCAACATTTCATTTACATATAAAAATGGTATTATCCACAACAATAATTCTATGATTCATGTGCACATATTTCATTATCATAAAGAAGAGAGAAAAGATGAAGTGGCTTATTATAACTATATAAATAGAATACAAAAAGATACTCAAGGACGGAATCTTTGCCCCTTACTTTCTCCCACATGTAATGGCACTTGTTTCAATTGCTATGGTTACAGTTTTTTCACTAAAGTTAAATTGCACAATTACACATTTTAAAAAATATGACTATACTGAATTACAGTTACATAAAAAAGCCTTCTCACTATTTACATAGGGGTTATTGGTACACTGATCATTTTCAATAAAGTATAAATTTTAAAAATAAAATTTTGAGTTATAAACCAATCTTCAGTTCAGCTAAATGATAATTTAGCTGGTCAATTAATTCTTATTCAAAACTATCCACAGATATTCTCATCACTCAACACAAAGCTTTTAAATTATCAGTAAATTTTAATAATAGTAAATTAAATACAGACACCTAACCATTAGGATCTAAGTGAAAAACATGGCTAAAAAAAAAGAATGCAAGTTTCATCTGATAAGGTAGTTGAGTAGAAGTAGTTGAAATCATTTTTTATAAAAAATACAACTTTCCCTAACTTCCTTAACTGTTTTCGTCTTCTGGCAAGTTTTCAAGACCTGTCTGGTCCAACACTCATGTCATTTCCATATTTAGTATAGGCTGCAAGTGGTTGCAACCCATACGCCTCCTGTCACATACCCGACTCCACTATCCCTTCATCATCTGTGGAAGAAGAAAAAAATATATAACCTTCAAAAAAAAGGTATTAAATATTCACCATATTTTTTTTTTTTTTTTTTTCAAGTATATAAAATGCTATTATCTTTCTTTTTCTTATCCATGGTCTATATTTTCATCTGTGTTGTTATGCTAATATTGGAAAAGGTAAAATACCTACTTCATAACTATAAACCATTTTGTATTAGTACAAAGCTCAAGCTTCTACAACTTTTTCTAAAGCAATTAAATTCATCAGACCCAATGGGCTACTAAGCATGACATATATGTACATCAGGTTTCTAAATCCTTTATTGGTGTTATTCTGAGCCATAGTTTTGAAAAAAAAAAAACATGCAATTATTTTATTCAAAGTAACCTTAAATTGCATCATTATCAAAAGGCATTTATGACTACTTTATTTTAAAATATGAAAATAGCTTTTAAAAATGTAGATTCTATGTAAGGAAAGCAATATTCATTACATGTGTTACAATGCTATACATGCTTCCAAAACACATACAACCTTGACAATACCTTTAATATATGCTCAGTAATTATAAAAATGTTGTTCATCATCACTACCTCGACCACTTTCCTGATATCAGTTTTACAAACTTTACTAAACTATTTGATTTATTCCATTTGCATTTGCATCTTAGCACAATCATGCTGGCTGATCTCCCATCAAGTCTTGATGAAAATTTCACTGATGCCAGGTGATATCTAATCAGGTGATGCAACTGGGATGATGCCTCATTAGTCCAATCATGAGCTGGACAATAGCCCAAACACAGAACAGCACATGCTTCACCAAACTACATTAAAAATTTTACTCATGATATTCACCACCTCTATGTAAAAATTTAGAAAAATGTTTTGACTTCAATTATTCCTCTAGCAAAGTCACATCAAGAAGTAGTGGTAAAAAGATCAGAATTACATGAATGTGCAATTACTAAGAATCAATCAACTTGGAAGCTGCTGGTGATGGCATCTGCATATATGCATTGCCCATTGCAATATTATTTTATTGATTGTCTTTACACATAAATGACTCCACAAGTACTAGGTTACAAATGAGCCAATTATGAGTTCTATTAATTTCCTAACCTGTTAACCATTTTCCTTAATTTTTGGAAATATTTTGTAACATCTTATAATGCTGTTAGTAATGTCAATAACTTTATAATAATCATGATGTCTATAATGAGAATAACAGCATCAGTACTGACAGCATTAGTAAAAATATGTTTTTTGACGCAAACTCAAGGGAAGGTGCAATCAGATCTCATGTAATACACCACATCATCATCTTCCATGTGGAGATGAACAAATAGTTTGATTTCTGATTAGAAAGATGCCAGGTGAAATAACAGCA